TCTTCACAGAACCTTGCTGTGCGTCACACCCATCACTTAATACAGCCTGGGGAACACAGGCTGCTGCCCACCTCTTCAGTCTATTGAGAAGTTACTTGTTTCCCCTCCCTCCTTCAATTCACCCTTCTCCCATTCTTTTTTCTTTACACTAACAGCTCCAGCACTTTGGATGTTTTCATCCCTCTCACTGCTCTTCAGATCATCCCTGATCTAAGCAAGGTGCCCATTGATGCCTGCATTTGCCTGTAGCCGAGCTGCTTGTGCAGCTGCAGGCTGTGCTGCTCTTCCAGGTTTTGCTCATTTGCATCAACTGCTAATTTAAGTATGTTCTCATTTTCATCACCGAGMTGTGAAAGCACTGGAGAGAGGCAGACCTAGAGTGGCGAGCCTCGGTTCAGGGTGCTGGCGACTTGGGTTATCTGCTGCCCAGTGCATTTGGAGCTCTCGGGACCACCCTGCCAGCCTCRGCCCCAGCTCTCGTCCCACTGCCGTCGGGGTCGCTCGGAGCTGCGCGTCCCTGTGCCCGGGCTGTTCYGTGCTGCAGAAATGAGGTCGGTTTGACACAGTTTGCTCTTCCTCAGGCCGCGGCAGCTGCTGCTTATCTCCCAGATGCCATTTCAGCATAATTGAGCTCGTATTGATTGAATTATAATTCCTCAGCTCCTTTCCTCTGCCGTCTCCCACCTTCCAAAGGCTCCCAAGCCGTGTGGCTGGGGCAGAACGCTAGGCAGGAGCAATTGCGCGGGGCTTGCAGCTGAGCGGAGGTTGCCAGGCCGGTCTTTCCCGGGCCGAGCGGGTTGTTGGTGCGCGGGCCGCGCTGCCCGGCGGGGCGGGCGCTGCGCGGGCTCCGCTCCGCGCCTGCCGGCCCGAGCGCCGCACGCTTCCTGTCGCTCGCAGGCCGCGCGCATGGCGGTGAGCAGCGCCCGGGACGGGACCGGGCTCGGGGCCGGCGGGGCCCGCTCTGGGGCCGGGACGCGTGGCGGCCGGTATCCCCGGCGCCTGCTTCAGGGTCGGCGGTGCGGGCCGCCGAGGGGGAGCGGGGGGGGGGGGCGGTTCGGAGGGGTCCGGGCGGCCGGTACCGCTTGGGGGGTCCGGCAGATCTCGCTGAGAGGAGCCCGGAACCGGAGTGGCCGGGTGCTGTAGGAGCCGCCTCGGGGCCCGGTGCGGCGGGGGCCGGTAGCGCGGAGCCCGGCGCGGCGGTGCCGTTTGTCTCGGTGGTGCCGGTGGTCTCGGCGG